AAAAAAAAAAAAAAAAAAAAAAATGAGAGGAAGGAATGGGGATTTTTTGTAAATCTTCCAAAATCTTCCTTCTTCTTAAAATTAAAGTTTCCCCAATTTGGGGGTTTGAGGGGGAAATACTAAAAATTACTTATCTACCCTTAGCATTAAAATGTGAAAACTACATAAATGTAAATCATTTTTAAATGTGACATTATTAGAAAAGTCTCAAATACTGATAGAATTTATCGATGAAAAATATTTCGTCAAAAATAGTGATGAAATTTTTTATGAAAATCATATACGTCACAAAACTTTTGTCAAAACTAACGACGAAATTAGAGATGAGACCAGATTTTGCCATAATCACTGACATAACTTTTTTTCCTTTCAGTCAATTTTTTTGATAGAATCTAAATTCCGTATAAACTTTCAACAAAAATATTTTCGTCCAAAATTTTGACGAAACACATTTCCATCAACATTTTCGACGAAAATTATTTCCATCAAAATTTGAGACTAAATACATTCCTATAAACAAAATTGACAATTTTTTTTTGTAAAAATTCTTTACAGAATCTAAATTTCGTCAATATATTTGACAAAAAAAACATATTCATTGAAATTTTTGACGAAAAATATTTCAATCAAGATTTTCAACGAAACACGTTTCTATCGAAAAAAATTTACGGAAAAAAATTTCAACAAAATTCCTTGCAGAATTTAAATTCCGTTAAACGTTTTCAGCTGAAACATTTTCGATAAACTTTTTAACAAAAAAAAATTCCGTCGAAATTTTTAACACAATACATTTTCCTCGAAAATTTTCGACAAAAAATATTTTCGTCAAGTTTTTTGATAAAAAAACATATCCATCAAAATTTTAAACAAAACACATTTCTGTCAAAAAAATTTGACAGCAAATATTTTCGTAAAATTTTTGAAGAAAAATATTTCGATAAAAAAATTTGACGGAAAAAATATTCTGTCAATTGTTTTTACAGAATCATAATTTCGTCGAAAGTTTCGAATGAAACATTTTTCTCAAAAAATTTGACAAAACAATTCCTGTAAATTTTTTTATCAAAACACATTTCTATCAAAATTTTGAATTCCGTCAAAAATTTTGACGAAATTCTTTTTTCGTTTAAAATATGTGATGGAGGAAATTATTTCGTCAAAACTTTTGACAGAAACTAAATTTCGTCGAAAATTTTGATAAAATTTTCATAGGAGAAAAAATTCTATCACTTTTTGACGAAAAAAAAATTTTGTGACGAAATTTTTATTGTTTGAAACGTAGAAATTTTGTAAAAATATGATCTTTTTTAGTATTGTGAAAAATACATAAATAATTTTGTTAGAAATTTTAAATTTAATTTGTAAAATATAATAATTATATTAATATTAAAAAAGGAATAAAATAGTAAAAATAATTTTTTAACCTTCTATTTTTCTCTTTTACCATTTTTTTAACTCTCAAACAGGGGAAGAGAATACTCTTCAATTCTCTTCCTTTCCTTACCTTCCTTCTCCCTTGGATCCCCTTCATTCTCTTCCCCTCTAAACTCCCAAACAAAGCTTTTAGTCTATGCAAGTGGGACCAATGTCACCTGTCACTCATCATCTATCAATGATTAATTTTTTTTTTGTAAGTTCAAATTTTAAAATTTTAAATTCAATTCAAATCCCAGTCATAAGTAATATAATTTAATTCAATTAATAAAATAAAACATATCCCTTTAAATAATAATAAGTTAATTATTTTCAATTTTCGAATTTAAAATTGATTCCGAATTTGTTCAACTTTCACCTTGGTTTCCCCGGATTTTACTAATAATTATTAATAATATAATTATTAATAATATGGTAGGAAAGTGAGTTTGGTAGGAAAGTTAAAAAAAAGTTATTTGGTAAGCCAAACTATTACTGGAAAAATTGGGTCTGAGTCTATGTTTGGTTGAAGGTAAAATATTAGTGGAAAAATGGAATGAAATTATCAAACTAACTTTAACTAAATATAAAAAAGACTCTCTCTCCAGCTTTCTTTTGGCACATTTTTTGAGAAAGGATATTTATGTCAATTATTTTTTTTTCCTACTTCTTGGTTTGATGGGATAATGAGAATACCACCCTCTAGATGGTTTTCTGAAATGGCAAAAAAATTCAATTTTATACACAAACTGAAATTGTTATGCAAATTCGAATGATTGATAAATTTTTTAAAACCTCCTACCAAACATAGTCAACTAAAAAATCCATCTCAACTTTCCTAGTCATCCTAAAACATACCTTCTACCAAACATCCTCTAATCTCGTTAACATTAAATCAATGAATACGTACGACTAGGGGTGTCCATGGGTCAGGTTTTTATGCCGACTCGACCCAACTTGGTTTTTATAGGTAAGGTAATTTGACCCGACCCGCTTTATTTTGATCCAAGTCAGGTCTGACTTGGTTTGGATTTTTTTGAACTAGTTCAGAACCGGGTCGGATCTGCCCTGACTTGATTTCTGAAATGGGTCAAATCTGACCTGACCCGTTTTTGACTTGGTTTCGTCACAAAATTTCGTCGAAATTTCTACGTTGCAAATGACAAAAATTTCGTCACAAAATTATTTTTTCGTCGGAATACTTTTCGTCGAAAAGCGACGGAATTTTTTCTGTAATGAAAATTTTTACAAAAATAAATTTTCTATCGAAATTTAGTTTCCGTCAAAAGTTTTAACGAAAATGATTTCTTCCATCAAATGTTTTAAACGAAAAAAGAATTTCGTCAAAAATTCTGACTGAATGTTTTTCGTTCAAAATTTCGATGAGAATGTGTTCCGACGGAAATTGTTTTGAGAGTAATGTTTCATTCGAAACTTTCGACGAAATTCAGATTCTCTAAAGAATTTTAACAGAATATTTTTTCTGACAAAAATTTTTACAAATTTTTTTGACAGAAATGTGTTTCGTTGAAAATTTTGATGGAAATGTTTTTTATCAAAAAGCTTGACGAAAAATATTTAGTATAAAAATTTTCGATAGAAATCTGTTTCGCTAAAATTTCCGACAAATTTTTTTTTTTGTCAACAAGTTTAACGAAAATGTTTCCGTCGAAAACTTTCACCGAAATTTGAATTCTGTAAAAAAAATTCGATAGAAATGTGTTTCGTCGAAATTTTTGATTAATATGTTTTTTTGTGAAATATTTTGACGAAATTTAGATTCCGTAAAAAAATTTGACAAAAAAATTTTCTATCAAATTTTTTTACAGAAATGTTTTTAGTCACAAATTTTGATGAAAATATTTTTCGTCAAAGATTTAGCGGAAATTTATTATGGAAATATTTTCCGTAAAAATTTTTGACGTACTTATTTTACGTTAAATATTTTCTTTTAATGTAATTGTGATTTTCTTTATCTCTTTTTTTTTACATAATGAGAGTGGGTCAAGTTTTGGGTGAATGAGTTATTATTAAAGCAAGTCAGGTCTAAAACTGACCCAAATAAAAATAGGTCAGTATTTAAACCCAGTTCAAAAAAAAAAAAATACTTATGATCAAGTCAAGGTTAGGTCAAAAACAAGATAGGTGAACCAATTTTTTTACATATCCCTACGTACGACTACGAGGCCGGGTACCCTGTAGGGCCTGTAGCTACTAGTTAACCAAAATGCCCGAAATAAGTTATGGTTGACTTTTTATTTTATTATTTTTTTCGGTAAACTGATTGAATTTTAATTTCGATACGTATTACGCAGTACGCTACTCGTTAACCAAAATACACGAAATAAGTTAGGGTTGAATTTTAGTTGCAATACATGTTACGCAGTACGCTACTCGTTAACTTCAAATGCACGAAATAAGTTGAATTTTAATTATAATACATAATGTGTTCATATTGCTTAGTATAAATTAAAAAATGTCAACCAAAATTTAGAAATTAAATAATGAAAAATTATTTTTCCTGTCAATGAGATAAAATCATATCATCTTAAAACAATGTTATTTTGGGATTTGAGAAAAAAATATATATAAGGCTTTTCAAAAAAATTTGCTTGTGCTTTACAAAAAATATTTATTTCCCTCAACCCTGTATGAGATAAATTATTTCTTATAACAAAAAATATTAAACCCATTAAAAAATTATGTCTTTATTTGTTGATATAATAGATATTTGAATTAATTTTAAAATAAAATTAATATGTATTATAACAATAAGTAAAGACATAATTAATTTAATGGAAAAAGTATTTATCTTTTTAAAGAGCAAAATATATATTATGTCATTTTAAATATAATGACTGTATTTTATGATAAGAGAGACTTGTCACACAATAAAACATTATGATGGGAAAAATGATAGGTTATTCACGTAAAAATCTTTAATTTGAATATTAAGTGAAAAACTACAGTTTAACTTAAAATAACATAATATTTTATACTTTAAAAGAATAAATATTAATCCAGGGGTGGCATAGTTGATAAATGAATTGTGTCTAAGAAGCAAACTATTGTGACTAAAAAGTCGCTGATTCAATTTTTAGGTCAAGCACCTTGACTTTACGTTACGAAAGAAATTATTCTCATATTAAAAAAGGACAAATAAATATCTAAATTTCATGTGACAATTTTTTAATTTATACTAACCAAGATGAACACAACATGTATATTGTAACTCAAATTCAACCTTAACTGATTTCGTTGATTGGGGGGTTAACTAGTAGCGTGGAAACCAAGGTGAAAGATTCACCAAATAAGATATAGACAAATAAGGGAGCATGGCAGAGAAAGACGGGAAAAAGATGTGTCATTTTAAATGACACATCTTATATTTTTTTACTCTTACAAAGAAGTGGAAGTGTGAAATTCATATTTTTTTAAAAAAATTCATCCATTTTTTCTCTCATAATTTTTTTTTTTATCTTACTTAAAATAACATAATTTTATATCCTTAGAAATAATACAATTTTTTCCTATAAAGAAATGCATAAACATAAAACGTGGGAGACCCTCGTCAGCATTATCATAGAGAAGGGACACCAATATTCCCTTACCCAAAATAACTTCACAACCAACCAACCAACCATGGCACAAGAAATGAGAAACAGAGAATAGTTCATTCTCTCTCTCTCTCTCTCTCTCCAATTTGCCACTTCTTCTTCAGAACCACACTGTCTATCTATTCAGTTCAGTCTGAAGTAGATTCAGATCAAAACCCAAATTAATAAATAAACTATATAAATAAAAAAGAAGCATTTTTTGGGTAGTAACTATTGTTTCCCAGATATTGTGTAGCTTGTTGAGGGGGGGGAAAAGAAAAAAGAAAGAGAATTGTGATGGGGGTGTGGGTTGATTCACAACAGGGTGGTAAAAATGGAGGAAAGTGTTCATGGAGGTCTTTAACAAGGAGGAAGAGGGTGGATTCTGCCATTGAGAACAACTCTAAGGCCCAACTTGCCAAGGAGTTAACTGTTCCTCATCTCATGGCAATTGGTACTTCAAGTTCCTTTTTTTTTTCTTTCTGTGGTTTAGTTCATTTTCAATCATGTTTTTCATCTGGGTATGAGCTTGGATCTGTTCACATTTCATTTTTTATTTTCATAATACCAGAAATATGTGTCTTTGTTTTTGTTTTTTCTTTCTAAATTCTGGTTACTTCTACCCTTTTTTCATTATGATCTTAGTAATTAGTTGAAGGTTCCTTTCTTGTTTGAATTTCAGTTTTTGAGACAAAAAAGAGTGACCCTTTGAACTGAGTTTATGTGTTGTGTTTTATATTTGGTTATGAATTGTTTTTCAATTTTGTGTTTGGTGTTGTTGATTCAGGTGTTGGTGCAACAATTGGTGCTGGTGTGTATGTTCTGGTTGGAACTGTAGCTAGGGAGCATTCTGGACCAGCTTTGGCAATTTCTTTTCTGATAGCTGGATTAGCAGCTGCTCTTTCAGCTTTTTGCTATGCAGAGTTGGCTAGTCGATGTCCTTCTGCTGGAAGTGCATATCACTATTCATACATATGTGTTGGGGAAGGGTACTACTCACTTTCTCTAGATTCTTACATAGTGTCTTTCTCTTCCTATGTGCTTGAAAGTTTTTCATCCTTGCTTTGGTTGGACCTTCTAATTATGAAGGTGACTTTGCTTATTGAAGATTGAAATTCTTGTCCAAAGCTCTTATTACTTAGTGTTTTATTGCTTTTCTTGATTTATTCTCATAGTTATGATTATAAGTGTAAAACAGATCCATTGATCTATCTCTTTAAGGTTTTGGGCTGAGATATGATATCGAGTCCATTTATCCTTATCTGTTAATTGGCCTATCAGTGGAGGTATTATTTGCAAAGGATTTTGGGTTCCCAGTATCATTTTATATGATGGGGTTTGGGGTAGTGTCTCTTTTTGGACAAACTCGCAAACCTATGTGAAGGGGGTTGTATTTCTTTTTTTGTTTGAGAACATATCTTGCTTCCTTTCCCTATATCCAAAAAAAGAAAAGATCATATCTTGCAGTGTGAGGTCTATGTATATTTAATTTACATGACATGATTGTCAATTGAAGTTGATATGTTTTGATTAATAGAAAATGGTTACTTTGTCTTTTATTGGCAGAGTTGCTTGGTTGGTTGGCTGGGCCTTAATTCTAGAATATACAATTGGTGGAGCTGCTGTTGCTCGTGGCATAACCCCTAATTTGGTATGGTGTTATTTTAACTTTCTTATTCAGTTTTTGTTTTCCTTACAGGGTCTTGATTATTTAATCCCTTTTCAATCCTGTGATAGTTCTAATAATTTGAGGTTGATTCATCTTTTATTTTATTTTCTTTTTCTTTTAATTATTTTTCTGATTAGGCTGCACTTATTGGAGGAGTGGACAATTTGCCCATCTTTTTATCATGCCACCATATTCCTGGGATTAATATTGTTGTAGACCCATGTGCTGCAATTATGATATTTATTATTACTGGACTCCTGTGTTGTGGAATCAAAGAGGTATGTTTCTAATAGAATCTTCTTATTTTATCTATTTTTATTCAAAATTTTCAACTTAGTTGCTTTCTAAACTGTGTTGCTTGAACTTCCCTTTATTTTTGGTTGGTGCAACTTTATGTATGTGTCCTTTGTAAATGGGTTGTGACCCTTTGGACAGATCCTCCAATCATTATGCTTTTCTTTTAATCTATTGAAATAGCCAAATATCAAAGAGGGCGAGTTTGAAGTAGTGGTAAAGCTACTCCTTTGTGACTGAAAGGTCACTAGCATATAAGGATTGCCCTCATCCGCACCCTTGCTAGTCAGGGTTCAATGAAAAATGGTTTTGAAATATCCAAAAATATTTTCCTCAAAGTTGATTTTAATTTGAATGCTTTATGATATATGCAGAGCACAAGGGTACAAAGTGTAGTCACATCAGTGAACATATGTGCTTTGATTTTTGTCATAGTAGCTGGTGGTTACTTGGGATTCAAATCTGGATGGGTTGGATATAATCTTCCTACAGGGTACTTTACATCTTTGTTTTTGCACTTCCCTTTTGTATGTTTGGTCTCTTCTAGTTACTGAACAATTTGTCTCTTTCTTTGATAGGTATTTCCCCTTTGGGGTAGATGGGATGCTTTCTGGTTCTGCTGTAGTCTTTTTTGCATATATAGGTTTTGATGCAGTTGCTAGCACTGCTGAAGAGGTATTGAAGATGATAATGTCATGCATCTTGTTCTTTTTGGATTATAAATGTTATTCCCCTTTGTTGGGTACATAAGAGGATGTTCAAACTTCCTAATAATGTTTTTACTTTGATCAATAGGTGAAAAATCCTCAAAGAGATTTGCCAATTGGTATTGCTGCTTCATTGTTTCTATGTTGTGGAATGTACATGATGGTCTCCATTGTTGTTATTGGTTTAGTACCTTATTATGCCATTAATCCTGACACCCCCATATCCTCTGCATTTTCTGACAATGGGATGCAATGGGCAGGGTAAGTGTATAAGTTTGGAACTCTATTTTGCTTCTGATTTTTGCTAAAGTTTGAGAATGAATCTTCTTTATGTTAACATTTCACATGATTTTTCTATGTGAAAATTTTATATTTATTCACTTTTTTTTTATATTTACAAATTTTAACGTGACCTCATTTAGTAATGTGAATTTGAATGACTGAGATCTTCTCATATGACATGATATTACATGATACAATTTTCAAATGACTGAGGTCATGTGAATTTTGGGATCCGTTTGGATGAGCTTTTAAAAAAATGACTTTTTATGCATTGCTTTGTTTAAAAGAACTTTTTTTTAAAGGTAAAGTTATTTTACGTTTGGATTTATGATCTGAAAATCACTTTTATATAAAAAAAGTTGTTTGGATGTTAAAATAAAAAAATGAACTTTTTATATATAAAATTACAATAAAGGAGAGATAAAATAGCATGATCGTGGGATAAGGAGAAATAAAATAGGTATGATAGGATGAGGTTAAAATTGTATTTTAAAAATTTATATTATATTTTTTCCAAAAAAACAAATTTATATTATCTTTTAATTTCTGCTTTTTTCAAAACCAATCAACTACTCGCTACAAAAAAAAAAAAAAGCATCCTTTTAACTTTTATTTTAGATTTTGCTTTTTTAAAAAGTTGTTATCCAAACATCTAAAAATTTTCAAAAGAACTTTTATTTAAAAAAAAATAACTTTTTTAGGAATAAAAGTCCATCCAAACGGACACTTAATATGAGAAAAACCATTCCCAACTTTCAAATAGATGAAATAGTTTCTAAAGTCACTTTTCCTAATTGTGATTGCAGATATATTATAAATGTTGGGGCTTTTACAGCCTTATGTGCAGCATTGATGGGTGGGATATTGCCCCAGGTAAATTAATTGGAACCTCAATGTGCTCTGTTTATACATTAAACTCTTAAATTGTTTAGAGTTGATTCTTCTTCCAAAACTTGTTATATGCAATTTCTCATACTGTATTATGCCAAAATAGGCCTCAAATTTTTGAATGCAAGAGGAAAAGTTTATTAATCCTAATGTTTGACAATGCATATCAAGCATTGAATGTGAGTTCTAACTTCTTTCATGCTTTATATGTGTTAGTCCTACATGTTAATGATCCTGTCCCATGTTTGACAGCACCACGTAGAATTTAAAAAAATATGATATAGGGGAATCATCGGGACATTGATCATACTGCCGCCTTTTTTCATATAATATACCTGAATGCCATGGAGTCAAAAAAAATTTCCAAACTGCCATGGCACCATAGTCGCTGAGGTAGTCAGCTACTATGGACGAGACACGTGTCATTTTCTTAGTGGCTGGACATGCAACCCAAAGTAGCTGAGGTAGTCAGCTACTTTGGTTTCCAGCCGCTAGGAAAGTGACACTGTCCTGTCCATAGTAGCTGACTACCTCAGCAACTATGGTGACATGGCAGTTTGGAAAAAAATTTCGACTCCGTGACATTCAGGTATATTATATTGGAAAAAGGGGCAGTATGGTCAATGTCCCATAATCATCACCAATTTATTTGGTTACCCAGAAAATTAGAATTTCTTTTTTAAAAGTCAAAGTAGTGTGTGGAAACAAAATTTAGTTTAGAAGTCATTTATTAACATAAAGTGATACAATAGTAGAAAAAGATTAAATGAATCACTGTGCAAATAGTAAATCACTGTGTAATAGTCAATTATTAACATAAAATGATGCAATTTAGACCCTACATATTATTATATGCAATAGTCAATTATTAACATAAAATGTTCAAAGTTTTTTTTTTTTTTTTTTGTTAAATGGAGGCGCATTAATAATTTTTACATTATATATATATATATATATATATATATATATATATATATATATATATTTTAACATGCTTCACACAAGCCTGTTGAGTTTAAAAGCAGACAATATAAAGGCCCACGTAGGTGTGTTAGGAAAATTAAATTCTAGACCATTTAGTCATGAAGACTCATGTTATATAAAGAATCAATTTAATTCAAAAGTTTAAACTATTAGGTAAAGACACATTAATAATTTTCATATTTATATTATATAACTTTTAACATTTAACATTTATTTTGTTTAATGTCTTTCAGCCAAGAATTTTGATGGCTATGGCAAGGGATGGGCTACTGCCACCATTTTTTTCTGACATAAATAAGAAAAGTCAGGTTCCTGTTAAGAGTACAATTGCTACTGGCCTTGTTGCTGCAGTCTTGGCATTTACTATGGAAGTCTCTCAACTGGCTGGGATGGTATGTCTACTTTTGCAACAGTACATGATCCCCTGATTGTGTTTGCTAGGATCACGAGCTTCAATGTTGTCAAAAAAACAACTCAACCCAAAAGCATACGCGGTTAAAGATTAATGTCTCATATAACTAATAAATTAAAATCGTTAGAGATAAGTAAGATCAAGGGTTAAAAATGAATATAAATTAAAATCGTTTGCTAGGATCACATATATATATATATATATATATATATATATATATATATATATATATATATATATATATATATATATAGATATGGGGTTAATATTTTTTCAGTCACTTGAGATAAGCTCATCTCCTGCCATCCTTTTTAACTATGTATTCCCGGAAATACATAGTTATAACATTAAAGTTTTTTTTTTCTCTCTCCTCAGTCAACTTTCAGAACCTGTCGGGCATTGGTTGGCGTGGAGAGAGAGGAAAAAACAACGTTAACATTATAACTATATATTTCCGGGAATACATAGTTAAAAAAAGGTGAATGAAAATAAGCTTATCTCAAGTTGCTGGAGAAATATTTTTTCATATATATATATATATATATATATATGGGATATGATCATTTTCCGCAAGTTATACTCTCAATTTTGGACATTAATTCTATTTATATTTAACTGCTCTTGGATATGAGTGGATTAATAGTTAAGAATAGGTGTAAGACTCCTGATTCTTTCACCCATGTAAGTTAGTCCTACCTGATATATATAGAATGAGGCATCTGATGCCATTGGCTTTTCCAATGCAAATCCAGGCTTTCTTTTTTCAATTCTTGCTGTTTCCCTGCTCTTTGAAATTATTAAAGAAGTTCTGATGTCTTGCATGGACTTGCCTGGTAGCATCTTTAATTATCAAATGCAAAAGGATGTTAGTTACTGTCTTGTATGTAAAGTACTAATGTATATTTATCTTCTCTCCTGTAGGTTAGTGTGGGTACACTTCTTGCATTCACCACGGTGGCAATATCTGTGTTAATACTAAGATATATCCCACCAGATGAGGTTCCATTGCCCCCTTCTCTCCAGGACCAAATTTGGAGCACTTTGGAGACGAATGAAAAAGATAGAGAGGCAAATGTTGGTTCTTCTAGGAACCAGAAACCTTTACTTGTTAAAGAGGATGATTCAATTGATCAACCCCTTATTGCTAAACTTCTTCCGATGGGAAACTGTGAGTTATGCTTTTCCTTTTCTCTTTACCAATCCCTTTGTCATATATCATATAAATTTTTTGTTCAAGTTATGTAATCAATATTAACTTAACACCAATTACTGCTGTTATAATTGCTATTTTTTTTTTTTTTGGCCTTTCCTTCTGTCATTTGAAATCTGTTGTTTTTCTCTTACTCCTATTTGTTTATGAATGCAGATGTACATGAGGGTAATAGGAGAAAAGTTGTTGGGTGGGTTATAGCATTCACATGCTTAGGGGTGTTTGTCCTCACATATGCAGCTTCAGATTTAACTCTTCTCAGGTTGGTTTAGTGGCAGATATTTCACTTTTCAAGTTGCACATACATTGATAATTTCTGGATACATGATACCACTTCTCGTTAAACTCCGACTAACGAGAGAAGGGATGAGAGTAATCCTTAAAGGCAACCATACCCCCTTTATATTTACACAGAGACTATTTTCCGAATTTGTACATAAATAGCTGATTAGAAATGCTAGAAGTGGACTGTATTGAGACTTGGCCTTATAAAGGAAGGGTTTTGATTTTAGAGGGCAGTAGTGGCTACATTAACTTTGTGCACTTCATTAATGTTTGTCACTGCCTAACTAACAAGAGAAGGGGTGAAGGCAATCCTTATATGTAACCTTACCTTTGCATATTTATAAAGAATTTATTTTCTGGGTTCTTGCATTAGCTGCTGATTATGGAGACTTGACCTTATAAGGAGGGTTTTAATTTTAGAGGGTAGTGGCTACTGTTGAGATATATAAAACCATTAATATAGTATCACCCAACAGCTTAAACTTTTGGGTTGAATTGGTTTTTTACATGGTACCAGAGCCTGGTTGTACCGGATTCGATCCTCACCGCTCCCATTTTCTTTCTAGTGGAATTTCTTTCTTCGCACAAGTAGATGAGCTTGTGTATTGTCCACCCTTCAAGCCCAATGGGCTTTCGTGTGAGGGGGCGTGTTGAGATATATAAAACCATTAATGTAACCTCACCCAACATCTTAAACTTTTGGGTTGAATTGGTTCTTTACAGCTACATTAACTATATGCACTTTAATAATGTTTTTTCATGCTATATCAGTATTTCTTGATGTTCTTACTTACTTTAGCATTGTATATTTGCCATTACCAGTTCTGTTCGCTTTGCATTATGTGGAGTTGGTGGCACTCTTCTTCTGTGTGGTTTTGTCTTTCTAACCTGCATAGATCAAGATGATGCAAGACACAACTTTGGACACTCTGGAGGTATGACTATTATTTTCTTAAGTAATAAATTTATATGGGTAGTGTGAGGGACTGAGTGTCTTGTTGATATGCAACTAATGTAGATGTCATGTGGATCTTTTAGTATCAGTCTGTCAGACATTGAATGTAAGAACATATGTTCTATACAGAAAAAAAATATAATGAAAATATATTAGTCATTACAGATACTGCAGCACTTATCACTAGGCTACAGTAATTTGTTTGATAAAATGCATCTACTAATATATTTTTTATATAATTTATTAAAAGTTCGGTTTAACCGTTTGAACCAATAATGTATTGACTCAGTTTTTCGGCTGAGTAAATGACTTATTCAAGTTTAATAACATTAATTTATCTTAATTGGGAGTTGGAATATTGTGTAATATTGAAATTTCCTCACCAAGGAAAATTTTTATTTTGTAGCCCGACTTCATTGTAAGATGAGTTTTGGTCTAAAAAATAATTCTAATTGATGCTTTTTCAGGTTTCACTTGTCCATTTGTGCCTCTGCTGCCCATAGCTTGCATTCTCATCAATTCTTATTTACTTATTAATCTTGGGTAAGTATTTATATTCAATTCCGAAAGTACATAGATCTTTCCCTTCAATTTTTTAACTGTAAACAAAGTCACATCAATTTAGTCCGTAGGAAATAAAGTTACATCAATTTTATTATTAAAAGAAATAAAGAAGAATGTCCTATAAAGAAATTGAAGCCTCTCAATAATAAAAAGATGACATCAATTCAGTTGCTTAATCATTAAAATTTTACATTAATTTGGTCCATCAATTATATGAAATGACATCAATGTAGCCCTCTAATGTCATGGTCCGGAGATAAAAGAATGATTTTAATTTCACTTTCTATACTTGTGGGATTAAATTGATGTCACCCATCTCTAAAGGACTAAATTAATGTCAATCTAACCTTTTAGGGACCAAAATGATTTTATTTTTTTTTAATATCCTTTCTTTGTCTCGGTAACAATAAATGATAAATTCTAATGTACAAAGACTCCCCGACTTGTGAGAGTGGGGTGAGAATCATTTGTATGCAAGTCTATTCTTATATTTTTTACAAAAGGACTATTTTCCTAATTCAAACATGTTACCTTCAAATCATAAAGAACAACCTTAGCACTACTCCGAGGCTTACCCTTAAACATGTCCTAACAATATCAATGAAAATTATTAACTCTTAACATTGCTATGCTAAGGATTGTTTCTTGAATTGCACAACTTAATCTAATATTTCTCTGTTTTTCTTCCAGGGCTGCTACATGGTCGCGTGTTTCTATATGGTTGGCAATAGGAGTAGTTGTTTATATATTCTATGGCCGAAACCATAGCTCTCTAAAAGATGCAATTTATGTGCCAGCGGCAGCAACTCAAGTGGTTGATACCTATCACAAATCCACACCTTGTCTTGCTTAGTCTCAAGGCACATTCCAATAGTTCAAACATCACCATGTGGAGCTTTACTTGCAGTCCAAGTCAAAGAAAATATTGAAGCTTCACTAGTTGTTTATCTAATCCCTGTGAAGAAAATGCATATTAAGAAAAATTGGTTTTCTTGTAGAGAAGAATGTCATCGTTGTATTCCTTGAAATGTAGTACCTTTCTTTGTATTATAGCATGTCAGTTAGTCACAGGTGATCTGGTCCTGTCATAAAATGTAAATGATACGTGGCCCGTTATAAAATGTAAATATAATTTGAAATTAGTTTTAAAGTTTCGCATCAACCTTTCCAATATGAATTTGGTTTGATTTAGAAGTTGATTTTCATGTTTGGAAGTCATCGTAAGAGAATATTTGAATTGAATTAATGAATATAATTTTTTATTTCAAAGAATTTCACTTCGTTATTCTGGCAAATAGTTTAATAGGGATAAAATTATTAATTCAAATAATTAAATTTAGAATTAAATCAAAGCTAACTTAAACATATATATATATATATGGGACAAATCTTGCATTAATTTTCGTGCATCAAAAAAATGTAATTAATTTTATATTTCTGTAAGACAACTACTCATATACTATTTAAAAACTTTGTATGAATGATTATTTTTACCAATTGAATTGTAATTAAACAATACATATTTTGATTCAAACTATAAAAAAAATCAATATTTGTTTGCTTTTTATTACAAAATTTTTAATATATAAATTCATAAAAATTCAATTTTTTATTATTATTAAAATTCATTAAATATAAATCTAAATTACTTCATCAAATATATTAAATATAAGTTTAAACAAGTACCTCAAGATATAAATATCAATTCTAAATGTAATTTTAAATTAATTGTCAATTCCGCTATTCCTAAAATACATTTGCCCAATTCTAAAATAAAAAATTAAATTTTACTTGAGATATAACTAAAAATAATCCTATATAAGTTTGGGTGATATGAAATATTTTAGGTAAATGTGATTTAAAAAATATATAAATTTTGATTTAATCCAAATTTTTGAATTTAGATTAAAAGTCAATCCAATGTAATTAATTACTTGGATTTTTGATTTTTAGCTTTTAATTTATCTGTTTATTTTTTTATTTTTGGATAAAAGTTTTTCCTTTTTCTTAACTTAGGATAGTTAGGCTTTAAAGAAAGAAAACAAAAACAAAAAGTCTGTCAATCATAAAATTAGAACCAAATTCATCCATGTTGAAAGAGGAGATTGCTCAATAAGCTTTGTGTTCCAGCTCCAAAGGTGACATGCTTTGCCAAAGATTAGCTTACAGGGAGAACATCCTAATAGAGTTCAGAAAACAGTTCTATAAGTCCATATTGCATCGTCTAGCTTGCTTGACTTGTCTCTCCTAGAAGAATTGATAACTTTTTCTAAGATTTTCTTAACATCTCGGTTAGAGACTTCAATTTGTCAACTGGTCTAAGGGTGATATGGGGTTGCAACTTTGTGTCTCACCCCATATTTCTCTAATAACTTTTCAAATTGACGATTAACAAAGTGCTTTGCACCATCACTGATAATACAGCGAGGCATTCTGAACTTTGCTAAGATATTTTTCTTCAAAAACTTAATGACAGTATTATCATCCTTGGTGGGTAAAGCAATTGCTTCTACCCACTTACTAACATAATCAACTGCCATTAAAATAAAATTGTTCCCATAAAAAGAAGGAAACGAACCAATAAAATCTATACCTCATACATCAAATAATTCTACCTCTAGATTTGGATTGAGAGGCATCTCTTTGCTTTTGGTCAGGTTTCCTTCACTTTGGCATCTATCGCATAATTTGACATATTGATGTGTGTCTCTGAAGAGGGTGGGCCAGTAGAATCTATATTGAAGAACTTTGGCAGTAGTTCAGATGCCTCCCAAATGACCTCCATAGGGTGATGCATGACAATGGAATAAGATTTGTTCCTGTTCTTCCTCCGGAACGCATCTTGTATTATCTGGTAAGCACACTTCTTTAATAATAATTGTAGAAATAGTTCTTGCAATCATGTCGAAGTTTCCTCCTTTGATTCTTATTCACTCTATAGGGCTTTATTCATGCTGCAAGAAAATTAGCTATGTCAGCAAACCAGGCAATGTCACTGCTCAAGATTGATAACAATTGTTCATCTGGGAACGTCTCTCTAATAGGCTAACTAGCTTCAATGTGTTCCAACCTGGAAATGTGATTAGCAATGCGGTTCTCACAATCTTTCCTTTCTTTGATTTCAAGGATGAATTCATGGAGTAGTAACATCCATATAATCAAATGAGGTTTGACGTCTTTCTTGGCAAAAAAGTACTTTAGGGTAGCATGATCTGTGTGCATCGTGACTTGGGAACCGAGGAGATAAGGTCTGAACTTCTCACAAGCATAAACTACAGCCAATAGTTCACTATCAGTGACTGTATAGTTCATTTGGGCTTCGTTTAACATCTTGTTGGAATAGTATATGTTGCGAAACAACTTTTCCATTCTTTGCCCAAGAACTACTCCTACAACTTGATCACTTGCATCGCACATTAATTCAAAAAGCAGGTTACAGTCAGGTGGTTGTATGATTGGGGCAAAAACGAGTTTTTCTTTCAGTTTTAAAGGCTTGTAGACATTCTTGTGTAAGCTCAAACTTCTTGTCTTTCTCAAGAAGTTGACAAAGGGGTCTCGCAATCTTAGAGAAATCCTTAATGAATCTGCGATAGAAGCCTACATGCCCCAGAAAACTGCAAAGAGTTTTAGCATTCATAGGTGGTGGCATCTTTGCAATAGCTTCTACTTTAGCTTGGTCAACTTCTAACCTATCCTTGGAAATCTTGTGCCCAAGGACAATGTCTTCCTTTACCGTGAAATGAAATTTCTCCCAATTGAGGGTGAGGTTAGAAGATGAACATGTCTGCAAGACTTATTTCAAATTGGTCAGGCAGTATTCGTAAGTCGTTCCTAGGACAGAGAAATCATCTATGAACGCATTCACTCCTTCACCTATCAGATCTGAAAATATGGCAAACATACACCTCTGGAATATTGCAGGTGCATTGCATAGCCCAAAAGACATTCTTCTGAATGCAAACGTTATATAGGGACAAGTGAAAGTGGTCTCGTATTGATCTTTGGGAGCGATTGGTATCTAGTTATACCCAGAATATCCATCAAGGAAGTAGAAATACTCTTTTTCCAGGAAAATTGATCAACATTGAAATACTCTTTTCGAGGAAAATGGATTAACATTTGGTCTGTGAATGGTAGTGGAAAGTGGTTTTCTGGTGACACTTTTCAGCTTTTTGTAGTCCTAGCAAATCCTTCAACCAATGACTTTTCTCATAGGAACGAGTTCATTCTGCTTATTAAGCTCTATAGTCATTCCATCTTTCTTAGCAATACACTGAACATGACTTAACCAATTGCTATCAAAGATGGGATGTATGATCCCAGCATCCAGCCACTTTATGACTTCTTTTCTCACAACTTCCTTCATAATGGGATTCATTCTTCTCTGATGTTCAATTGAGGAACTATCAAGATCAGTAAATAGTATCTTATGCATACAAAATGTGGGACTGATACCCTTGAGGTCAGCCATGGTCCAACAAATTGCACTATGACATTCTTTCAGCTTTTCAACCAGTACTCCTTCTTGTTCCTGAGTCAGGAACGATGATATAATGACAGGAAAACTATTGTTGTTCCCAGAGTAAACATACTTTAAATGTTAGGAGAGCTGCTTCAATTCCAACTTAGGTGGTTGAATTGAAGATTGCTTCTTTGCTTTTTAATTCTGCCTCAGTTCTCTACAGAGGTTCGAACTTTTGTTCCTCTCTGACTTGCACTTGTAAGACTTGTACTACTTTTCTTTCTTCTTCTTCGACATCAACATTTTCTTCTCTTTCATCTTCTTCCTACGCTTCATGGATGACAGCTTCTAATGTGGAAATAACATAACATTCTTCTAAATCTTCTTCATCATCATAATACTTCATAGCTTTCATCACATTGAAGTTAACTTCCTCATCATTGACTCTCATGTTGAGTTTACATTTTTGTACATTAATGACAGCGCCACCAATTGCTAGGAAATGTCTTTCTATTATTATGAGAACGTCGGTATCTACTTTATAATCCAAGATGATGACATCTGTAGGGAAGATGAATTTGTCAACTTTAACCAACAAGTCCTCCACCTTTCCTTCAGATCTGACAAGAGATCTGTCAACCATCTGTAATGATACAGTGGTGGGTCTGGCAGGGTCTGTGGCTAATTGCTTGAAAATAGAGGAAGGCATCAGGTTGATGCTTGCTCTTAGTCACATAAAACTCTGTCGTGGTATATATTCCCAATAATACATGGTATGGTAAAATTTCCAAGATTTTTCAACTTTGGTGGAAGTTTATTCAAATATTTACAGCTCTCTTGAGTCAGTGCCACAGTTTCATACTCTTCCATACATATCTTCTTTGAGAGAATATCCTTTATGAACTTGACGTATGTGGGCATATGTTCCAAGGCTTCTACCAAGGGAATGTTGATGTATAGTTGCTTCAAGAGGTTCAAAAATTTTCCAAATTGTTTATCCTCCTGTTGTTTCTTCGTTCTTTGGAGGAACAGAACAGTGATTGTTGTGTCCATTTTTCTTGATGGTTCCACAAGATGAGGTGGTGTCGTTCCATCTTGTGGTTGTCCTTGCTTATCATTCAGAGGTCGTTCCTCCCCAGATGGTGATGTTGTAGTTGACGTAAAGAGTGGTTCAGGGTCATGGTTACTGACTTTCTGTGATGCTCTTTTTTGTTGTTCCTGGCCCTCTGGTTTGGATTCAGTCACATCTCTCCTACTGATGTGACTTCCAGATTAACTTAAAAGTTGTTTTTTATTTTTAGTTTTAGTTTTTTATAACAAAATTAAAAATCAGTTTTAAGCTTTAAAGTTAGTCTTTTTTTTCTTAAAAAAATGCATTTTACATAAATATACATACGATTTCAATAGGCTTTTAAAATAAATGATTTTCTATGAATCATTTCAATTAGAAGGGCTTTTTTAAAAGTTAAAACTATTTTGGAATTGGATGGAGTATTAAAAAAAATACTCTTGAACAAAAAAAAAATGATTTGAAAATTAAAATTAAAAAGTATTTTTCATATGTAAAATTAATAAAAATGATATGTCCACACCAAAAAAAAAAAATGATACGTGAAAGTGAATCATGGAAACAATATTTGGGAATA